GAACTTGGAGTTCTTTTTCTTTCAAAAATATTTTCCTTCCAGATCAGTCGATGAATGACTAGCCCTAGCCTTGTTCTCTTGATTCTTGGGGTAATATGGGAGCCCTTTTTCTTTTTCTTTTTTTTTTTTTTGAAAAAAAAGAGTGAAAATAATGTTTTGGGTTTACTTATGCACAAACCGTAGAGAATATATCATTTTTACCGAATTACTTACAAAGATAGCCTACCTTGGATCCAAAGACTCATCAAAGAACAAAGTAAAAGGAATTTAAGGAAACAAAGTTTGAGATCTTTTCGTACGTAGTCTTTCTCCATGTCATTAGCCTGTTTTTCCATTTGCGTGTGAAGTGCTTTGGTGCCAGTAGAACTTCCTCAATATTTTAATTGACTGCCTTTCTTTATAATATAGCCTCTGAGGAAACCTGTGATAAAGATTATTACCAGATTAATGATTAACGCCATATATTTTTAGAAATTATTTGGAAAAGCTCATATTAATGTCTTGACTGTGCATCTTTTTCTGGAGGGGAGTCTTGTTCCAAGTTATTTTTTTCAATTCAGGTGTAAATTAAACAAGGTGTTTGTGGAAATATATTCGGGTCGAAAAATGTTGCGTTGAATGCCTTTCAAAATACAACGGACATTAGAATTATAGTCCAACCAATGCTACAACCTCAAACGAAACCTCTTGAGAAACAACCCCGTTCCCCTTAATCCTTGCATTGTTTTTAGACCAAAACGACTTTGACTAGGGGGTGTGGAGGGGGCTTACTTTTTCTGTTTAGAGGAGATGGTGGTACAGAAAATAGATGGAACTCTCTCAGGGACTGGTCCAAAAGTATAGGGGAGGGGGGGGGGGGGGGTGGGCCGGAGCATTTGGAAGTGTGGTTGATAAAAAAAAAAAATTAAAAAAAAACATGGCCCACCCCCTCCCTTCGGCACAAAAATGACTGACCCACCCCTAAAGCAAGGTTGGAAGTTGCATGACCCACCCCTTAGTTAAAACATGGATGTTTGGTTTCCTCTTAATAATCCAATAAAACCTTGTTCTTTGTTTGACAAAATGTGTTGACACACTGCTACAACCAATATCAAAATCACAGAAATCATACCTTTCACTGAAAAGACAAACGTGAAAACCCGAACATTTCTTGTTTCGATGGGCGTTAGGAGTCTTGACACTAACATACAGCAAAACGAGGGTATATTGAAATTGTCTGTCACAAAGCATATGAAAAATTTCTACAAAGACAACCCATTCCTACACACTACTTGCCGGAAATGCTTAGATTAATCCTCAAAGAAAATTTCTTCCACTTCAGTGGAAAGAAGTACCTACAAAACCATGGAGCTGCAATGGGCACAAAGACATCAGTTTTGATTCCTTCGCCAATATTTTCATGACATAATTATATTGAAATAACAACTCTAAGTAAAACTGTCTTTAGAACAACAGTTTGGAAATGCTACATACACGATACCTTTTCCCTATGGGACATTAGTAAACCTGACATCAAAGCGTTCATTGAACACTTATGACAGGCCTAGACCGGTTGAGGAATTTGGGTCCCCGCTGCTTAGGTAAAAATTTTTTACCTAAATCACAGTAGGAGCTGAAAGAGGAACCACACTAAAAAGAAGACAAGCCTTACGAAGGTGTTATAAGCCGGATTAATCCTAACACGTTTTAGCGGCACATTTCCTCATTAAGGTATACGAGTTTTCTTGCACGCCTGATATGTAATACAATAAAACAATGGGACAGGGCTACTCTTTCTTTGCTGTTATATTTTTCGTGGCTAAAGGTTTCGTGCCTGCTTGGTTAAAAAATATACATCACCGGAATTTTCAGTTTTAAAACGCCTTAATCGTAGTTGCCATTGTATTGGTAAAGGATTACAATTAATGCTCCAGTGTATTTGTTAGACACGGGCAAATTAATGCCCCAGTGTATTTGTTAAACACAGGCAAATTAATGCCCCGGTGTATTTTGTGAGACACAGGCGAATTAATACCCCAGTGTATTTATTAGACACAGGCAAATTAATGCCCCAGTGTATTTATTAAGAACAGGCAAATTAATTCCCCAGTATATTTGTTAAACATAACCAAATTACGGTATTTGTTAGACACAGGTAAATTTAACACCCCAGCGTATTTGATGTATTTGTTAAACACAGGCAAATCAATGCCCCAGTATTTGTTAGACCCAGGCAAATAAGAATCAGTTCTTCTATTGAAATATCACTCAGCATGCCTATATATTTCATTCTCAATTTTACAGATATTTCCTGAGGAAAGGTCCTGATTTTTTGTAAGCCGGCTTATATTTACACGTGTCGGGTTTATAACACACAAAGCTTAACATTTCTTCGAGTAAAATGATTAATTGTCCTGTTCGAAGTCCCTCGGCTTTATTGATAGTAACGCCATAATGTATAACAGTTTCATTAGCGACTGAGCTGGTCCTCATAACCACCTCTGAGCTTCAGCGAACATTAAGATCAAGGCGATTAGCATCTTTATAGCGCCACGTCTTCGACATAACAGTCAGCTCGCATTTATAGCTAAAACGTTTTCTTTATGCCAAGATTTGTAATTACTCACCTTGCGGCCGTGATAATAATTATTTACCTTTTTCAGTGAAGATCACAAGATAGCCAGCATGTGCACAAGCGAAACTTAAACGAGATAAAGTTCGTCTCGTATGTACGAAAGCCGAGAAGGGCCTTCCGACTTCCGACTTCCGACTTCCAACTTCCAACTTCCAACTTCCAACTTCCGACTTCCGACTTCCCAATTGCGCGAGATTGCCGCTGCTTAAAACGGACTGAGTCGGATTGAAAAGCTTGAATTCTGTGTGTTAATAACCTTTTTGTATCTGGGGTATTTTCGACATATTTACAGTTAAACATTCAGGCTGTCGACTGGGTGTCAAAGTAACAGTTAGAAATAGCATGTCCTCATACACAGGGCACACGTTAATGCTTTCCCTTGCAAAAGGGATATCCAATGTGAAATAATAAAGGCGGTGGTTTTGAAAGATAATACAACACCGACAGAAAACAAAACTGGATGGATTTAAGCTAAGATCCTGTAGGAAAGTCATTGACCTTGGCGTCAGCACGAGGGATTATGTGAACTAACTAATTCTACGTGTAAATGCTGGGACGTAACAACAAACTGACGTATACATCTTGATATAAAATAGAGACAAATTTATTTGTTGAGTCGGTTGTAGTTGTGAGATAAAAACGTCTCCGCACTTATGCTTGCGCCGAAAGTGTCAACAAGCATTTGAGTCTCCCTGCAGCTGTTTTATTTTGAACTCCAAAATAACATGCAAAGCTCTTCCACTAAATGGGGAGCTTTGCGTGGATCAGCATTATACCGCTTGTGCCCGAGTGTTTGTTTCAAAATAAGGAGATTTTTTTGCAAAAGGTTATTCTAATTTGCAACTTTACTGTGGCCACTAGTTGTATTCATATAAAAGACCCTGGTGAATAATAATATGCTCATTTGAATCATTCTTAACCGTGTTGTCACCGTGACATCATTGCATCAAAAAAGCTTGCTTGTTAAAAAGATTATGCTTCTCATTTCAGCTCAGAGTTTTCCTGGAAGAACACTGTGTTGAATTAAAAAGAGTTTTGAGAAGCATAAGGTTGGTTTATAAGGTCCAGTTAATCTGTTATAAAACTTCGTGTTTCAGGCGTGGGATTCAAATTTGTCTCCTGCCTGAGTCACCCCAAATTCCCGCCTCTCCCCCGGGGAGGGCGGTAAAAACACAGGTAGTACCTGAACAGATAGGCCCTTTGCAGCTAGCTATTCACGTGGTACAAAACCGCCGTGCTGGAGAGCAAACGTCGCACTGGGACAAGACAAACAGAGAAAATTACCATTTACAATTATATATGCTCCTGTGTATGTCTTTTGTTTGTCTTGTCCCAGTTCGACTTTTGCTCTTCAGTGTGGCGGTTTGTACCACGTGAAGAGCTAGCTGCAAAGGGCCTATTCAAGGCACAGGATACGCAAGATGCCGAGTAACTCATTTCTTGGCCTATTGGTAAAATAATAAACAACGCAAAAGGCGGGATGGGCAATCAGTGAGTCTTACAGAAAATGTTTGCAGTGCATCAGTCAAATCCAACTGCGCCGTGCCCCCTCCCTTCCGGGCTAACTCCTGGGCATTAGCACCTCTTTTTTCCTTGGATGGGAAATTCCCGGTGGCTGGGACATTTGAGATGTCAAATGTCCCGCGGTGGGGACGAAAAAAGAGGGAAAATGCCGCTTCCTCAATCCACACTGTAGCAGTTTTCATTGACCGCGCGGTCGAATTATGGTGTGTCAGTTAATGTCTGCCTTTGTAATAGCGCTATTCTTACTAAGCTGCGACAAACCATTTATTACCTTTCTTTTATGAAAGTTCGCGGTAAGAAAGTACATGATCATAGGATTAAAATCATTACGCCTAAACTTTATTCAAATCCTAGATCAAAAGAAATTGGATTTATCAAGGCAATAGCTCCCGATTTCGCAGTACAAGTTGTGTCTTGACATTTAGCAATGAAAAAATGCATGCACAAAATCGGGAACACACACCTCTGAAAACCTCTACAAGTTTTTCGCGTCCTTGATAGAAGAGATAAAAAAATAAAAGCGAAAAAGGATTTTTTGTGTGTAATAAAGAACAATAACTGTCCAAAGAATCACGTTCACAGAAAAATTGTGCCACCTGACCATGCTTTCCCTTTACTTGTCGTTTATTACTCAATTAGTCAATATATTATATCTTTGCCACAAAAGTAATAAGTTGCTCCATGTCTCTTTCATCCTCATGATTTATTTCGCGAACAGTGTATATGCGGCCATTTCAGAATTTCAGAAGTTTGCCGTTATCGTGACCCTAAATCTATGGTTTATCTACGACGAAAGGACATACGCCGTATCTTTTGTTTTTACACTTTATATTGTCAGGTGTACAGTTTGCATGCTGTAAAAATGATCTTAGACGCACAATTTGAGACGATGAGGTTAGGCATCGGGCAAATAGCTATGTTGAAGGCGTTCCTGGAAAAGCCAGTCAGAGGTATGGATTTACTAAAATGTTATTCACTTGACTGTAAATACTGAAAATTTCCGGGTGGCTATCGTAAAATAGTCAGAATACAGCAGAAAGTAGGTTGATTTTAATAAAAAGATTACACGGTCAAAGCTAGTTAGCAGGAATGGAAACCATGGCCAGTTTCCGCATCCTTTTCCAATAAAACAAAACCACTATAGAACTAACTTTCTTTAATGACGAGGAACGGTGTTCTCTCCCCAGTAATATGTCAACATGAAAAAAGGAGAACCTTGATTATATACGTTTTATACGGAGAGGCTCCACAATGAGGTCCAACCCCTTCCCCTTTTATCAATACCCGATTATTGACAGAAAAAGTAGCGCTTTTTTATACCTTCCAAACTGCTGTAAATGCGCTGTCTTTGAAATATGAAGAGACTGCAAACCAGACAGTTTTTTTCGACTTTTTAAAGATATGAAATGCATCTCTAATCTCTTTCGGGCCTTCTTACAAACCAAAAAGACTTGCTTTCCCTATCCTTTCATATGGTTTCGGCAACAAGTGAAATCCCTACCTTTCTTACATGAAGCCTGAGAAAGGTAGCCCTTTGGGCTGGAGCCTTCCCGTACAGACAAATGTAGGGAGTTTCCCCCAGGTACTATAGAAAAATTGTTAGGATCCCCCTGCACTTCAGGTTATAAACAATGTATCAATCAATGTTTCCCCAGTGGAAAGGGAAGAACGAATTAATGACTTGGTAGAGAAAATAAAAGCACAAAGAGGAAATAAAGCAGAAAAACAAAAGTCTAAGACGGTGAACGTTGCGATGCCCAAGAAATCAGCGGTAGTGAGGCGCCGCATGCTTTATATAGGTTGGCTCCACCGATCAAGCGCGGATTCGCGATACAAGCAGATAAAAACAAAGGACGGTGAAGGTTTTCAAGACTTCTATTACAATGATGATGAACAGATCACTGTTGAATCCCTCAAGATGAAGGCAAGAAAACTTTTCTTTCCGGAGGGTGTGTCCAAGTATGGTGCTATTGAAGATATGTACGCGACCCGAAATGATCCTCGAGGAATTATCGGAATCGAATGGGATGACGTTTGATTCCCGAAGATGCTAGAATTACTAGAATAAAGTAAATTAAATAATTTTGACTCGACTGGTTTAAAGTGTTGATTTATTAATATATTTTGGACAAATTTTTAAATAATTATAACTCCTTTTTATAATAACGAATTTTGCAAAGAAACTTTAGAGTTTAAATTGAAGGTTTAATCGTGCAAATAGCATCTCGTTAGACCGGTTTAAACGTCAAAATTCACATGTGCCGAGTCTGATACCTATTTGGTTCTACTTGTATAGTCGCAGCCTTTACGCGCTATAGGTTTTAACACACAAACTTTATTCTAGAACTTCTACAACTGGTGAAGGGAAACAAGTGAATCGATGTGAAGTATAACGAAGTATAGCGAAGTGTAGCGAAGTATAGCGAAGTATAGCGGTACTGAAAAATAACAATTAAACAAATACAAAGTCAAGATAAAACAACCTACAAACTGAACGAAAGCAATAAGGCAATCTAGAAATGCGAATGAAACAAACGAGATACTTACAAGACGATAGCGAGATAAGGACGAAAACTAGGACGAGCAAAACCCAAACATTAAACTGTAAACCGGACCAAGAAGCGAAAAATTACAATTAAAACTAAATATACGGTATGCAGAAAAATTCTAACACGAAGGACAAAGCTACGCGGACAATGAAAAACTAATGAACCAAACAACAGCACTAAAGGCGCGAACACGAAAATAACTAAGACCGCGGCGAACATAAAAATACTATAAAGGTAACGGAAAACATTCCTGGCGCTTACAACTTGAATAAGTAAATCCGCCATTTTAGACGTCGAATCATGAGCGAGTTTTTATAGAGTTGGAAAAAAATTGAGAATTGTGGGTTATGATAAATTAAACATGATTTAAAAATTTGATTCGGCACAAAAGACAACGGTTGAACTTCTGTCGAGATTTGACTGGCTCAGTCGAAGATGCCACAGAGGTCGCGTTGTCGAATTTCATTTTAGTTAAACGTCGAACTTCCTACGTATTCAATACCTGAATTAAATTTGGCACATGTGAAATGCGATGTTTACACCGGGTCTTGAAAAATTTACATTTCAAGAAGATTTGAGATCTCGCGGTCTGTTTGCAAGCAAATGTCACGTGTACCTGATGTCAACACAAGACGACAAGGAAGAGTCGTCCCCCGGCAACCTAAATCAAGCCGAAGATTCTGGCCTGGTATCCTATTGTCTCTAAGACAAAGCCGAACGACCATCCACATCGCAGTTGGGAGTATTTATGGGATGTAGCAAAACAGAGATGTCAGAGGAATTTCAAAGTTTAGAGATGAAGAGTAGTACGCCTATGAGAAACTCATCAAGAAGCCAAAGCCCACTCTACGCACCAGCTATTGAAGGGGGCGAAGGAACTTTGTGTACTGTTGAAAATGTAGGTGACCATCGCCAATTAATAACTTATGAATCTCTTACAGAATCATCTTTTTCGGAAGTCCTTCTCACCACGGTTTTGTTTTCAAGGGAACAGTGCTATGATACTAACTCTTTTTCACAACCGTTAACCAGGGACACCCCCTTAGAGGAGTATGGCCCCCTGGAAAAAGGGGTTTACCGTTGTGGGTATCAACAAAGGTGATAAGTGCTTTCTCGACAAGACCTACGATGATTCTGCAAAGCCATCGTCTAACGAGCCGCCGGATTTCAAGTATGAGTTCCCTCAGGCGGTTGAGAATTCAAAGCGTCTAATCCTCCATAACCCATCGGAAATCTGGGGCTATGATGGCGACCAACTGGTAATTGGGGTAGTGGTGTCATGCCACATGACTCATGGTGTCCGTTTTGGGTGGTTTCGGAATGGCGTTAAGATTAAAGAAGGGCATCCACTTTGTTGCCTACCAGTTAATAAGCCTGGTAGCTAAACTGAAGAGGTCTCTCTTGGTGTAGCCTCCCACGCAGGCGTTTTTAGGGGAGCTCGTATTTCTTCCCTCCCCACAAACGCCTGCTCAACAGAGGACAACATTCCTTTCCCACGCTTAGCCAATCACGCTGTACTTTCCAAATTCTGGAAAGTTGACCTTGACCGCAGGGTAACCCGATAATCACGCGATCTGCATGAAACTTTAAGAAACCTTCGTGACCTCTAATAAATGTTAGTCTCGGAGTGGCAAAAGTAAGATTTACTCAGTCAGATTTTAGAATTCTCTGTGCACTGTATAACCTTAGCGAACGAAAGAAAAGAAGGATAAAGGTAACTCTAGGGTCACGTTCTGGGTCACGTTTTTTCACTATCACGAGCTTATTAGTCATGTTTAGCCTGTCAACACTTTTTTTAAAAACCGTTGATTGGTCACTTACCACGCGAATGCAACAATGGGAAAGGAATGTTGTCCTCTGTTGAGCAGGCGTTTGTGGGGAGGGAAGAAATACGAGCTCCCCTAAAAACGCCTGCGTGGGAGGCTACTCTTGGTGATGAGAGAGAGGTCTCCAATCCAATTGAGATTCGCCCAATACGCTTGTCAAGAACCTCGCAATCACCATCCGGAGAAAAGGTTCCTGAGGAAGGTTTACATGAAGGTACCTGTGATGGTGGTCATGCCGGCGAACAGCAACCAATGCAGAAAGGCAATGCAGCGGTTCCAGCTGTACCAGTGTTGGATAAGAAGGAAATTACATTTTCTGACGAAATTGGGCGCGGTTCGTTTGGTGTGGTCTTCAAAGGCTCTTGGGCGTCTTCAGTCTGTGATCGAAACAGAAGTTCGGGTCCACGACATGATTCGACATCCAAACATTGTACAAATCATGGCCGTGTCGATTTTAAAGAATTCCATCTACGTTGTTTCGGAGTACATTAATGGTCGTAATTTAGACGAGGTACTTTTTGGCGAAGGCGAAGAGTCCACAAAACTCACCATTCAAGGGAACGACAAGATGAATGAGGCGCGGCAGATTTCTCAGGCGGTTGCGTATTTGCACAATTTAAAGCCCCCCGTCGTGCACAGGGACATTAAGCCCGCGAATGTTCTTGTTGCCAAAGGTTCCCTTATAACTAAGCTGTGCGCCATGAGCCTCAGTAAGTTAAAGACAGAGCAGTCTTTAAGCCGCAGCACTGCCATCGCTGGAAGTCCAAGCTAAATAGCCCCTGAATGCGTTTTACAGAAAAAAACAAGCAACAACTCAATCCGATGTATGGTCACTGCCATGTACGTTATTGGAACTATTTACCGAACGCGATTGCTGGGTTTAAGATTCGTTGAACGAAAAGAAGCCTGCATCGGGAGGGAATTGTGGAGGTTCTTTTTAAGATATCCAGTTTTTGATGGCTGCCATGGAGAGGAAAAAATCGCCTCCTGTGTTGGGATTGCCTTCAGAAACTTGTTTGCAACAGATTCTTACAGACTGCTTTGAGTATGACAGTGCCCAGAGGCCTCACGCCATTGACATCGTGAATGCTCTACTACATTAGCTATAAGCCGTGAAGTAGCTTGTAAGAGGTTTGTCTTTCTATTCTTTAACAGGAGATCAACAACTAGTTGATATTGTAATGAGCGGACTTCCTTCCGGTTGGTGAACTTAAACAAATGTATCATTTCTAATTATCTACAAGTGTTTTCCATCTGCCACATTTTTTTTTTTCAGTCCAATTATGCATTATGTCCCCAAATCAGTATGGGTGTTTTTTCCCATGCTATACGGCTCCGAGACATTAACAAAGTTTCCTATCTTCTATCTTCCTAAAAAAGGCGCAGAAGAACAACACTTGAAAGAACAAATAGACAATCATCGAACACTATTAAACTGATCATGTAATCATTGTCTCTACGGGAAAATTGTAACTAAACACTTCTGTTGTTTAGAGTGTTTAATAAAGACCCTTTATTTTATTCAGTTTGGCCTGACAATAAAGAGGGGCCTGGAACTCTGGACCCTTCCTCAAGACCCGCTGCATGCGCTAATGGTGTATTCAGGTTAGGGGTGACTATTAATTTGGGTCAAAATTTTAACGGTTGCAGTTGTATTGCAATAATATAGGCCACACGGATATTGCGATAGTTTTGCGATAGTGGATCGGAGGTAATATTGCAATAATATTGCGAAGGTGTTAAGGAATATCTGTTCTTACTTAATGTCTTGTACTTAAAGAAATAACTAAGAATTGTTGGTCATAGAATACAGGTACCATCCGGTTCGAGAATCAAGACGCTAAACCATTCTAGGTGCAGTAGGGCGGTAGATTGTTTTTAGCTTTTTTTTTACCGTTGTTGTCACCTTAAGAATCAAAGATGGGTAAAAAAAGTTGCCTTTATTTTCCAAACAAGTCAAAATGTTAGAAGTATAGAAACTATCGAAACTATCGGTAGTTCGCGACACTATCGCAAATGTTATCGATGTTTCATTTTTGCTATCGATCCATCGCTATATATTGCAGCGTTAATATTATCGCGGTAGTTCGATGTATTGATACAGCCTTCATTCAGATATACTTTCGTTTCATTGTTTTTGTTTTTAGTTTATAGCTGTAAAACCCCAGAGGTAGCGGCACCCTGTCTGTATTAATCCTTTTTTTACCACTAGCTAGTTTTTTTATAGGTGTGCGTGACCTTCTATAGTGTGTTTCTCCAAAATCGCCTTGAAGTGGTGTGCTTGTTTTCCATGTCTTAGGTTCTCGGAAAATCCGGTTACCTTGAAAAGTAAATGGAACACGTCTTCTCGGGTCGTTCCACCATATCCAAAAGGACAGGAAATGCTGCTGGAATGTTCCAAAAGGAAATTTCATTCGTTAGTACATTTCTTTTAAGAAACTGATACCGTTCCAGGCTTTGGCGGAGACTTTTCGGTGAAAGCAAATCGCGAATGGAAATACATTACTCAAATTAGTCGAGTTAGGGGACCGCATTTTCGTTGCGCAAGGACCATAAATGAAGGGAGAAAGCGTATATATGTAAATGAATACTCTTAATTTAAAAAACGGACCAAGAAAACGAAGGTAATAAGGTGATTATCATATGGCTTTCTTTCTGTAAAAAGCAAACAAACAAACAAACAAAACAAACTAAAGAAATAGGCTTTTGCCCCAAAGTTTTTCTTTTGCTGACGTTAACAATCACAGATTTTCGAGCAAAAGAGAGACTGTTTGCAGTCTACTCCCTTTCAAATTCTGTCATGCAGACATGGATTTTTTCCACACTTGAGATGTAAGCTGGAGTCCATAAATCTTTTACAAAGGTAATTTACAAGTGTAGCTATTGTTTTCAGACTCTAAAGTCTATGCTAATGGCTATACTTGTTAATTTACACTCGTAAATTTTCATTAAACTGACCCCTGGTGACGGACCATTCATAAACTCAAAAGTGTTGGGGTCGCTGGTTGCCTGGGTTGGGTTGCAAAAAACATCTTAAGATTAAGGGAACTCGTAACTGTAATTTCAAAACAATAGGTTATTGTTCCAGAACAAAACGTAAGAGCCCTTTTATCTTAAGAAGGTTTAATGCAACCTCGCCCTGGTGTCTGTGTTGGTGACCTTCTGGATCCTGAACTACTGGTAAAAGCGAAGACCAAATTAAATACGAGTAAAGTGACAAAATGTCTCTCGATTTTCTGCCGCAGATTTTAAATTGCAGGTGAGTGGTTAAGGGAAAACAAAGACTGTTCCTTTCCTGTATTTTATTGCGACTTTTTCATCAGCATATCCATTTTATAATTACAAATTTCAATAATCCTTGCCTCTTTCATTACAAAAGTTTGGTCATTTTCTACTGCTTTACATGATTTTTCTCTCTTGCAGAAGTGAAAGCAAACTCGGCTGTTCTACTGAAAAAACGATTGTGATTGAATTATCACTTTATGACTCTGCTGTTCACGGCAACCCAGACTCAGCTTTATCGGACAAAGGATTTTCAAGGGCTAAAGTTTGCAGCTAACCTTCCGCATGCACTATTTTTTCGAATTTTTCAGGTGAGCAAGAAGCGGACGTGGAGCGCGCGCGGCCTTCCCCTTCGCCCATGTCTCGTGCTGAAACGTGTTGATCATTCACCTGAGAGCTGTTGAACTACGGTTTTCTTTCAAGTTATTTTGTTGCTTCTAGTAACCAGCTAACGGTATGTTTATAGAATTATGTAATTTAGGCATTGAAATTTTTTCCTGTCTTCTGTTGCAACGGATGGCAAGGATGGACATGGATTAAAAGCTTAAACAGTCAAAACCAACATTTTTAAGTTTTGAACCTCCGCCTACAAAAATCGCCAAAAAATATTTTGGTTAATGCTCCCTTAGAAAATTTGCGTGGAATCTTTTTCTTATATCTAACTGAGCATTACGTTTTAAGCGCCGCCCTCAAATGAGCGCCGCATTTTTGGAGAAAAATTTAATAAGCTTCGGTACATTCCTTATGCACTGTGTATTTTGACGTTTACAAATAAATTGCTCGTAAAGGGACGACCTTAAGTAGGTGAGGTAACCCGCTTTGGTGGGTAACCCGCCTGTCCACATAATCTCTAATTTTAATTTGATCACGTTTACGTGATAGGCGGGGTGACCCGCGGCATGTTACCTCACCTATCTGGGGTCCCCCACCTTCATGTAAACAGGCCCAAAGACTACTGTACAGCTGATAACAACGTTTAGTATACAGCTATTTCGAAAAAGGTTGTCCGAAAAAGTGCGCGCGAAAATCCCGAAAGGTGTTGTGGGTGGTTTTGAGATCACTGTTCTTCATAGAAATTTTGAAAGAATGACACGAGAGGCCATGGACTACGTTTCCCAGTGCTAAAGCGTAGCCGCAGCAAAAGTAGATTCGACAGCTACAGTGTCAGAAAACAGTGTATTGATCATATCCCATATTACCTTTCGGGATTGTCGCGTGCACGTTTTTAATCAGTAACCTAAACAAAGAGTTTTTCTTTTTTCTCGGGAAAGTTGTTTTATAAAAGCAATAGAAAACTTTTTTCCTGTGTTTGCATAGCATGATGTCAAGGCTCGAGGGGTTGGGAGAATCTTGACAGTTATGTAAACCCGAGACGAAGTCGAGGGTTTGCATAAATGTCTCGAAATAAATATTGCTTTTTTTAAAAAAATACTGTTACTTTGTCGTTTATAAGCAATTTATTTGTAAACGTTAAGTTTCACACTGCGTAAGGAAATGTCCCGAATTTACGCGAATTAGCGCCGCGGTGCTTATTTTTCTTAATACCATAGTAAAAGCCGGAAAAGTCCGGAAATACAGTGAAAACACCTCGTCTTGGTTTTAACTAGTTAAAAAATGCGAGCTGTTTTCACAAGCAAAAACAAGGGATTTTCTCACCTTTACGAGCGGAAATTCACGCAGAGTTATACTACCTCGCGAGATGGTATAACTTGTCCTGATAAACGCCATAGCCAATCGGGTCGCGCGTAATGACAGACGCCTGCCAAACAATCTGGTAATATTACTTTCCAGACTTTTGCCTCTTGGTTGAGCTTGAGAAATTCAACATGGTAGACAATTCCAACAGTCATTTCTTTCGATTTACAATCTCACCGACCCCATTGGATTCTCCATTTGTTTGGCTATAGTCCTTAAACCAGAATTGTGGTCTTCCCAGTTATGGCACTGAATGTTGTTTCGTTGTTGGAATTGACAGAATTAAAAGATTTCGTCGCATCTTCCTCATTTGTAAGGACATAAGCCTCATTTGCTGAATAAAACTCCTTCTCCTTTGCAAAAATACAGCGAAAATAATCACAAGAGAAGTCATTACAAGCACTTCGTCCCCTTTCATTTTTTATTATGGCGCTTTTGCAATTTGAATCTTCTGAGTTAGTGGCTTAGATTGCCGGTTAAATTTCACAGTGAAAACAGTTGTCACGTTTAACTAGTTAAAGTCGGTTTGTAAACAAATCCTAGAAAGAATGTTGAGCTAGTTAATCGCCCTAGTGAAAACACAACCTTAGCACCGTATTTACACGAATAATAATTAACGTCCCCTTAAATGCGGCGCTTATTTGAGGGCTACACTTATTCAAGTCTGATTACTGTAATTGGCAACTTAAGAGTTTATTACATTTAGGGCAAGTTGTTTTTACGTTTTTAGGACTTTATTACATTTAGGCCTTCTACAGTATCCTCGTGACAAGGCCCCTTTTAGTGATTTCCTTTGCTTGATAAATGATTGAGTCTCATCTTACGTTTACACGCGCGGTATCCTTTGCCAAACTGTTTGCTAATAAAGTGATACGCCGCAAACACGATCAAAAACAAGGCCAACTCCAGACGTTAAAATCGCAACCGCTGGAATCCACTTGTCAGCTGACTTGCTGTTACCCTGGCCGGTTGTTGCTACTAGAAAGAAATTAGAAATCCAGATTCAGTTAAAAGTGGGTATTAAACAAATGAGTGAATGTTTGGGTGATGCTCGATGTACCAAGTCAATGTATGCACTATTGTCTCTTTCTATTGTGTGAAGTCTATTGTGTTATAATTGTGTAAGAGATAACGATCATTGTTGTGTTCTTTGTGACGTATCTCGAGACTTGCTATTCGCGTGGTATATCGTGCACCAGCCGAACGTTTATCAGTACCGAGCCTTAATCCATCTAGCTAGCCTAAGCCAAAGACGGAACTAAACTTCTAACAAGGGTTAGATTATTTACCAGTTAATTCCAAAACCTCCCACTCCCCAGGCATACCTCGGGTAATTTTCCTGTCGGACATTGACTTTCGTCTCAAAATGTTGGTCAGCGTTTCGTTCAGCGTGTACATCACGTTCAAGGTTTATTGATGTCATTGCTCCTATATTCATTGTTTTGTTGGAGCATTTGAGAGCCTTTGAAGCTACGTACAAACGCACGCAACATTGTTGGAGCAACATTGTTGGCCAACAACTCCCAACATTGCGTCCGTTTGCACGTAGCTTGAAAGAGCCAGTTAAATGCGGGCTTTCTGAAATGAACAATGTTATTGGAACGAACAAATCTCCATAAGACAGTTTTCCAAGACTTGAGATATTTCGGCAACCTTGTTCCAAGGTTGGGTTTAGGAGGAAATTTAGATTTGAATAAACGGTTTGACGCATGGGGAAAATTTTTGATCATGAAAAGTCGCTAATGGAGTGGGAGGGATTTGACACTTTTTGAAGCGCTAGTTGATGGGCTATTTGACCATCTAAGCTGCCAACATACCGACCAAAACCTTCAAAAAAAGTCAGATTCCCAGGGGTCTGCGCGGGGGCATGGGCAGTTTTGTTATTGACTGGTACATTATGTCTGCGACCTGACGCAGGATAACAGGGAGCTTAAAGCCTGGTTTCCATATGATCGCTACGATTGCTACGCTCGCTCTGATTGCTGCGATCGCTGAGAAAAAAAGGTCAGCTATCGCAGCGATCATAGCGATCATATGGAAACCTGACTTTTCAGAGTTCGCAGCGACGACGATCGCTGAGATAGAACCACCCTTTCATGTAGTTTACCAAGTAAAATCCCTACCCTTTCATCGATGTAATGCCTGAAAAAGGTACCCGTTTTTAAGCCCCCGTATATGCCATTATAGAGAGTATCCCCCCCGGGATTAGGCCTTTCCCAACTGTGCTCGTAAAATGCTTGAAATTTGCTCACTGGAATGCCAAAAACTTGCTACCTAAATTTCAAAAGTTGCCACCTAAATTTTTTGATATTTTTATATAAACGTTAATTAAAAGCTTTATTTTTCGTTCTTCACAATAATTACTAACATCGGTCAAGAAAAAAAAAATAAAAAATTTCAAAAAATTTCAAAAACAATAAAAAAGAAATTAAAAACATTGAAGTTTTCTATGAAACCGTTGACTTTTTCGTGTTTGATTTGTGCTTTAAACCGAGGGGCCACTAAACCTATATTTTGCTCAAAAGTTGCTCAGAAAGGCAAAACCAGTACCAAACCCAGGGTGATAGTACCACAGTCCGGTTCCAGTAAAATTACAGTGTTGGGGCAAAAATACGATCCTAAAATTTCTAGAAAATACTAAATAAAGATCAATAAACCTTACTCTGCAGAAAGGTCACCCCAGGACTCCCGGGATGGATTCTTTTTGTACAGTGCTCAGGCCTTCTTTTCTTGGCCGCGGGTTGATCTTGCCCGGCTACTTTGGCAAGCATGTTCTCGGTCTTTTTGGATTATATCCTTCGAGTTTGTCAAAGTCTGTGGGATTCGTTTCTCTATCTGGGAAAGCTTCATTGGTTTCTATATCTGCTGCTTTTCTATTTCTACGATCCTGGCATGTTTATTTTCTGTTGGAGTTCGAATTTCGTGAAAAAAGTTGTGTTGAAAGGGAGCATGGCGGCGAAGATGGCATCTCGTGTCTCCCACCTTGTATGTTATTATTGTATCTAGAGTGAATTTCAACAAACTATGACGAAACTTCGTTGGAGCATTAAGGACAACAACTAACTGCAGAGTAAGTTTCACTTATTTTTATTTAGTATTTTCTAGAAATTTTAGGATCGTATTTTTACCCCATCCAAACACTGTAATTTTACCCCCCCGGGGGGGACGCCGCATATGAAAGTGGTGGAGATGCTCGTCGTCTCGCTTAGGGGTGTAAATTTTGGATTTTGGTCTCCCCGCGTTTCACTGATACCCGGTAATTACTTTTGAATTCTCATAACAGTCCAGCGACTCAGGACTCAGGGTGGTTCTGTTTTCTTCCACTGTTTCGTATTATTTGAAAAGCGATAAGATCTGGATACTAGTTTTAGATTTGGTTGGCAATTCAGAGGCGAATCCAGGAGAGGGGCCCGGGGGGCCCGGGGCTCCCCGTTATGTTTGGACCAAACTGAGGCCTGAAAGGTCGAAAAAAAATTTTTAAGACCGCCCCCCCTTATCTCAGGGTCTGGATTACCGCCCCCCCCTACCCTTCCCTTATCTGAAGGTCTGGATCCGCCACAAAAATTAGTCCCATTGCAACACTATACTTAGTGACCACCCCTTAACATCACTAACCTGTTGAAGTTGAGTTTGTGGTATTTTGTGACGATGGTGTCGAAAAATCTGCAAATAAAGTTGGTAAAGGGGAAACGTCATCAACATATTACTTTCATCGATACAAAAAAGGAAATTTCAAACGAAAAGCGAAACAAATACGATTACTAGTATAGGTGAAACATGTGAGTTGCTGTGTTAGTTCTTATATATATGCTGGTGTTTAATGTAGTTGACATTACAACGTCCCTTTTTCTTTTTCTTTTTTTTTTCGGTCAATTGTATCCCTTGCCTTTGTATGACTCTTGTGTAGCTCTTTGAAATTTACAGATTCATATTGATATCATATTGGGAGATAAAAACAGAAAACGCAAGATTCCATGCACTGATTCAAATCGATTTACGCTGCTTTGATCAAAACACTATCAGGCTCAAGAATTCTTTTAACTATAACGAAAGATTTTATTAGAAGGTGTAATTTCCTTTATTCCTCTTTTACTTTTTACATGCAATTCATTTTAACAGCCGGGGAAAGAATTTGGAAATGAAAAGGGAAATTTGTAAAGAGGGAATACGTCAGCACAGAAATGAATTGTAGGCAAATGTCTGTAATCGTGCATCCTTCTGCTAATAAGCTAAACAGACGAAACGCACAACAGTAGAAGTATAAAGGTGCAGTAAATGTCACAAAATTAACCCAAGCGATCCCTTCAGGCATTTTCTGTTTACGTCATCCCTAAGTATTTAATACTTGGGGGAGTTCAGGGGTGAAAGGTCATCATTACCCAACGATTCCATGGGGTCCCTGTTTTTAACAAACAGAGTGTTTTTTTTTTCTTTATTTCTCGAGCCCTCGTGGCCTCTGAGTCAATAGCCCATTCGGGCTCGAGGAACAATTGTTAAATATCCCGTTGGCGACAGAAGTCTAAGACCTCCTCGACTGACTCTGGATCCAGAAAAAGACGTCCTTACTGTCTGTTCAGAGTGTACAGCTCTCGAAGGAAATCTCTAACAACTCTTACACCTTTCTTTCTGGCCAAGGGCTCAAACCTGCTTCCCTTCTTCTCCTCGAGCTGCATCTTCATATTTGTGCCCAACGTAAGTTATATCTACATATGCCAACAGCGACGCGTCCCCCATTGTATGAATAGATGTGTAAACAACAATGTTCTCAGCAATGCGATAGATGGTTGAAAAAGAACCTGAAAAAATTCAGGCTGGAGAGACGGTCACTTTAGTTTCCGATTTGTAACTCACTGAATCATTAATAATTTATTCTGGATACGTCTTCTGTAAGTAGTCCTATTTTAAATCCAGTAACCATGTTCCCTGCATATCCATCCATCCCCTAGCATCTGTAATGGGTAAAAAAGCATAGAAAATTTCTTTACGAACCTTCGTTTGGTACAGACAACATCCTGCAGGGGATTCAACTTGAAAAAAGTTAAACACATCCGTCTCACATTCTTATTGCTTTCCTTATGCTTTCATGCAAGACAGTTCTGGCGTGTTACTACACCCAGTCCGCATTTTGAAGCCTGCCTTGCCAGGTGGCACCTAAGTTATTCTCGAGCTTTAATCGCTTCATCGTTAGTGCTCAATGAAGTCATAATGTCATCCACCTGCACCTGTAATAGGATTATGGCTATTGCTAGCGAGTGGTCATTTCTGTTATCTTCTGCATGTTGTCGCACAACGTACTGGGCAAGGTGAAGTGAGGCGCGGTCATCGAACGTCAAGCTCATCGCTTCAAAGACTTCTGGAAGCCTAGAGAGGTGTAACCTCCACCTCAGATTTCCGTCAGATGTGCCACCACGGCCACAAGATAACTGCGGAAACGCAATAGCGCATTAAAAAAAACATCTTGTTCAGCTTTGGTCCAGGCAACATGCTATTATGGGTTATTCCTCCGTATATGGCTACTGAATCGTAGACTATCCTCACTTTAGTGATCTCTTTGTCTTCTCTCACTACATGAAAATGAGGTAGGTACAACTGGATGTAATCCGAAATTAACCCTTGGATTCATTCTTTCATACCTTGGCTTCTATCACCTGGCAGTATTTCTCAGCAACCTCCAGCCTTGGCTGAAGGTGTTTCTCTAGAGATAAGTCGGTTTTCAGCAGTCTTTCTGTTTGAACACAACGGCGTATCATCAACCTTCCATGGAATTGCCACTTCATAGCCACTCAGCATAACGCCTTGGTTGTGTCTCTTTGCGCGCAGCAAGCACCTCCTCCGCTGTCAAGCGCTTGTTTTGATCAGCAATTCCCACAACGTCTTTGTCCCACATCTTCTGCATTAGCTCATCGGCCCTCATTTTGGAGTTATTGGTCGCATGGTATATGTGTAAACATGGCAAGCCTCATGACACTCCTTTGCTTCATCCGAGACATTTCCAACTATTTTCCATGCGAGTGGTTTTCCTTACTCTTACTCTTACTCCCCCAGATGTCCTTTGCAATATTCAAGTGGGAAAATGAGTTCCTCATAATAATCACTTCTCAATCAACTTCTATATGTTGAACTGGCTCTATGATCTCCAGGTCGCGATTATGATCTAATTTCTTGCATTGACGGACCAATCAATTGCTTTCATTTCACAAATTTCCACAAAAAATTGCTTCTTGTTGCTCCCATTCATACCCTCAAGGCTGGCGGACAGTTATAGTCAGTTTAGATATCCGTTACATTCGACTTCGCTGCAAAAGCAGCAACACAGAGTGCGTGCAAACCCAGTATATCAGCGATCTCCTCTTGAGAAAGGACGACCCAGACCCACCATCAATATGGTGGGCATCATCTGCAGCGCTACCCTTTCAGGGCGTGGCACACTTACCGGTTCAAGTCTTCAGAACCTCAACAGCTCGTGTGATCAGGAAAACGACTCCCTAAAATTAGCATTAAAGCTTATTATGCAGGAAATGAGTGTAGGAGAGCGTCAACAACAGAGGAATCAGAGTTACCAGGTAACTGCCCCTCAAGGAAACTCAAGGAGTGATAATGCCCAGTCTAATGAGAGCTCTAATCCTGAAAACGAATGGCAAACCGTTGACGCGAAAAAGAAAAAGAACAAAACAAGGAGAAAGAAGATCAGTGAAACACAGTCCAACGCCCATGATGACACGGAAAATTCCACGCCAGCAAACGAAAGTACTACCTTGTTGATTGGAGACTCTATGATAAAGAATATCCAAGGTACACGTTTAGGAAAGGCCGTTGGTCATCGGGTGGTGGTTAAATCGTTCTCCGGTGCCACCACCAAAGCTATGAAGGATTACCTTAAACCTAATTTGGAGCTTTCACCGGACCAAGTGATTCTGCATGTGGGCACTAATGATCTCAAAAGTAAAGAACCACAACAAGTTGCCGGCTCAGTGGTAGATCTCGCCAGACAAATTGAAAACTCATCCCATGCCACAGTAATTATATCTGAGCTCGTGCAAAGAAGAGACGGATTCAATGAAGCCGTGAAAACATTTAATAAACAACTGAAGTTCTTCTGCCGGCAGAATGGATGGAAATTTATCCAGCATCAAAACATCTCCGAAAAGGAACTTAACAAGGGCGGACTACATCTTAATTTTAAAGGTAATCAACAGTTTTTTAAGAACTTTCAGATGAGTTTAGGTTGAAATGATACGCTATCCACCGATGCCGTGCCTATTCAATGTACAAAACGCAATACTGAGGAATCTCATGAGCCTACCTCAGTGTTGCCATCTCAACGAGGTTTTAAATTAGCCTCTTTAAATATCAATAAATTAATCACACACATAGATCAACTTAGAATTCTTCTAGCGCATAACGAAATAGATATTTTATCGATTAATGAAACTAAGCTCAATGAAACTATTAGCAACAATGAAGTCAACATCTCTGGCTATGATATAATTCGACGTGATAGAATTACAAACGGTGGAGGAGGAGTGTGTTTCTATGTGAAAAGTTCAATAAATTTTACCATACGAAATGATTTAAACATGGACACTCTTGAAAATCTATGTCTGGAAATTCAAAAACCTAGATCTAAACCGTTTGTTGTTGCCACGTGGTATAGACCACCTGATTCTCCTATTGGTAGTTTTTCACCTTTCGAAACTTTAATTGGGAAACTCGATTCCGAAAATATTGAATATTTTCTAATGGGAGACCCTAACTGCGACATGATTGCTACTCGATATGACAATAGTACATGCACATTAATGAGTATCACTGATATTTATGGTCTACAGCAACTTATCACTGAACCAACCAGAAAAACTCCGACTTCTGCAACTTTGATTGATGTAATCTATACTAATTGTCCAGATAGAGTTGTGTGTTCGGGGGTTCGTCATATCAGTATTAGCGATCATAGCATAGTTTTTGCCTATCGAAAATTATCCGTGAATGGAATGTCTGGTGGGTACAATGCTATAACCTACAGAAACTCTCGAAAATTTAATCGAATAAATTTTCGGAATGATATTGCATCTCATTGTTGGGATCACATATACAATTCAACTGATCCCAATCAAATGTGGCTACAATGGAAATGCTCGTTTCTATCTATTGTTAACAAGCATGCTCCCTTGAGGACAATGCGTGTTCGCACGCGTAGTTCCCCATGGATTACATCTGAGCTTAAGAAACGAATGCATGATCGGGATATTCTAAAGATTAAAGCAAGTAAATCGAATGATTCAAATGACTGGTCACTTTTTAAAAAACAACGCAATATAGTAAATAGCGAAATCAGGTTAGCCAAGCAAGCCTATTATCAAAATAGTTTTAACAAGCATACGGGCGATTATAAAAAGACCTGGCAGACTATCAATGAACTTACTTCGCGAAAATCTGGGAAAAAATCGGTGACATCTCTGAAAGTAAATGGAGTATCAATAACAAATCCAACTGTGCTGTCGAACCAATTTAATAATCACTTTGCTACTATCGGTCCAGAACTTGCTAGCAATATTGATTCCTCAAATAGTGATGGTTATCAAACGTACCGCACTGGCACAGATAAACGGTTTCAGCTCCATACGACCAGTAAAAATAAAGTTCTCTCACTTTTGAATCGTCTAAATAGGTCAAAGGCAGCTGGCCTTGACAAGATATCTGTTAGGCTCATTCGGAAATGTGCAGATCTCATTTGCATTCCTATCCGTGATATTTTTAACCAGTCAATAAGTCAAGGCATATTTCCGGATGACTGGAAATGCGCAAAGGTCACCCCACTTTTTAAACAAGGCGATCGGGACGACTTAAACAATTATCGTCCAATTTCGGTGATCTCAATTATGGCCAAGGTCTTTGAAAGAATCGTCTATGATCAATTATATGCCTACCTAGAAGAGCACAATATAATCTGTAAATATCAATCAGGCTTTCGCGCTATTCACTCAACTGTCACGGCTCTCCTTGAGGCCACGGACACTTGGGCGTACAATATTGACCGCGGTAAAATCAACGCCGTTGTTTTCTTAGATCTCAAAAAGGCCTTCGACACAGATGACCATGAGATCCTTTTATCAAAATTAAGCAATTACGGTATATATGGTAACGCGCACCAATGGTTTAAGTCGTATTTAGAGAATCGTACTCAAATGTGCTCCATCAACGGAACGCTCTCTCAAAGCTGTTTATTAAGTTGTGGTGTTCCCCAGGGGACGATTTTAGGTCCATTATTATTTCTGTTATACATCAACGATCTTCCAAACTGTCTTTCAAATTGTGAGCCGAGGATGTACGCTGATGACACCCACCTTACGTACGCAGGTGATAATGCAGACAATATTCAGTTGCATCTAAATCAAGATTTAGAAAATGTTCACACTTGGCTGAGAGCAAACAAACTTACTCTAAATATGACTAAAAACCGAATTTATGCTTATCGGATCTAGGCAGAGGCTAAGTACTCTCACAGAGTCCCCGACATTTGCAATTAATGATTTTGAAGTTAGCCAGGTCACTACTGCAAAATCACTTGGAGTGACCATCGATGACAGACTTGATTGGAGTGGCCATATCGAGAAAGTAACAAAGAAAGTCGCTTCTGGTATTGGGGCCATAAAACGAATAAGGCACCTTGTCCCTCAGGCGACCTTACAACTAATATATCAAGCTTTAATACAGCCACACTTTGATTATTGCAACATTGTTTGGGGAAACTGTGGGATAACCTTACGGAATAAGGTTCAAAAGCTACAAAACAGAGCAGCCCGTGTTTTGACCTACTCAAGCTATGAAGTAGATGCTGGTCACCTTTTCAAACTTCTAGGGTGGAAAAACCTAGCTTGCCAGCAACAATTTCAAAGAGCTACGATGGTTTACAGTTCTCTGCACGGGTTGGCTCCAAACTATCTTAGTTCTAAATTTGAAAGGCGAGAAGTCGCATATAACCTAAGGGACTCTGAAAATAAACTCAATGTTCCATTACCGCGCACAAACTATTACAAAAACAGCCTCAGCTATAGTGGCGCCATTCTCTGGAACAGTCTTCCTTGTAACTTAAGGGAAGCAGAGTCCCTTGGGTAATTTAAACGATTACTCAAAGAACTGTAAGGCACGGCATTCGTGGAAAGCAGCTTTTTTATTTAAATATTTTTATTATATTAGTATTAGGCATTTTTAAAGCTGACGAATTTTGTACCGTGGATAAATATAGATTATCTATCTATTTATCTATCTATCTATCTGATTAGTTGGTACTCCAGGTGATGACGTCTCTCCTGTGGCTTCTTGCGAGGATTGGAATGTCTTAGCCGACTATGTCCTCTACTGTGGCAGCTAAAGCACAAACCCAACCTCTCTTATAATTACAATCGTTCACTTACAGTTGATTCTTCCAGGTTTCATACAATGTCAGTACATGTTTTTCTTAGCTCACAAAACATTACACGAGTCTTCGCGCGTTCTTTCTCCTGAGCCACTTCGATATGTTTGAATTTGACTTGGGTTTCTCTTGTTCAGGATTCTCTATATTACTGGAGCAACCAAAGGCTATCACTTCGACTTTTCTCTCGGTTTCAGCCACTCATCTAGGTCGCTAAGGTCGACTTATTTGGGCTGTAGCTTTAACTTTTGCCTGCATCACGTTACTGCAATTTTTGGAGGTAGCTCTGCAAAAATTTGCTGCATATTAGTTTCTGGTCTAAAGCCTGCTCCATGAATGTTCTCACAATGTTGCGCGAGTTGTCAAATTGTTTTCATACTGATCTGCTGATATCTCCAGGAACCTGTTGATCAGTGACTTTGAAATTAGAGCTGGGTTTCCAAATCGTTCAGTCAGCTTTTCATACTATTGCACAAAAGACTTATCTTTTGGACGTTCAGGGGCTAACAAATTTCGCGGCACGCCGTATGCATCTGCTCCGATAAACGCTAGAAACGTAGCAACTTTGTAATCCGCCTTGACATAATTCGCCGCAAAATACAATTCCACTCTCTCGATATAACTTGCAATATCTTCTTTACTGTCCACATCCTCTCCAACTTGACCTAATATAATATATATGTAATATTCTGGTCTTAAACAACAAGACCAAATGAACCATGATTTGTCAGTCATTCTTTAATGCAACTGCGCATGTGCCAAACCTTCCCTAATATATAGGAGGTCTGGAACCTAATATATTACTCAACCCAGATGCTGGATTCTGATTCGGCTATTGTATCATGTGAAACGATTATTTAGATAAAGGAGGGTGTTACGATTCGCCGTCCCCTGCTTGGGTATCGCGACAGCGTTATTGTCTGGCACCTAGTAATAAATAGCCGCACGAGTGGAAATTTCAGCTATAATTAATACTATAATTATTTCAAAAACAGAAGTAAACTTGACACTTCTATTGCCCTATCCGTTTAAAAGAAAATTTCAAGTGCACGTATTTATGGAATTCGCTATTTACCTGTTTCAGTAGAGTACGACTTTTCCTACCCTATTTACAGACCTGAAGGCGGATGATTTAAAACAATAGCAACAACAAAAATATCAAAAACTCATGCACGAACATGTAATTTCAGACACTGTATCCAAACGGCGCAAAACCTTTCCCTGTCTCAGACCCAAATGGTTTTAAACAATTCGCTTACAAAGGGAGTACCCTCTCACCGGAACAAATGGGCTGTGACGTCATGATTTGCTGGTTCATTTTGATAATATTACCAAATATATCCTTTATTCTTAGTGGAACTCAGCGTAAGTTAAGAAATCACTTGCAAATGACAAAATCGCTGCTTCATGTCAAACACATTTGTCCCCAAACATTTTATGAAAAGTTACGGACAAAAAAAAAAGAGTGTTAACGTAATAAAAGAACTATTCAAGGAATCTTTATATTTAATCTAGGTGACAATAGTAGGAAAACCGTAAACGCCCAACAGGAAGCACAAAAGTATCCGCTTTGTTCGAGTTTTTATAAGTTTTTTGCCGACCGCCGTACTGCAAGGATCAAAGTGTTACCAGTTTAACTGCTACCCAGACCGATTTAATGCTTCTTCCAGGACATTTAAGAAAACAGTCGCCATAGAAGTAAGTGAACTGTATGTTACCTTGGTTTTGTTAATTTAGTCCGTTCTTTCGTTACCTTTTAAACAGACTTGAAGTAGCGTAAATTCAGTTTGTTTCAAGAACGACGTGATTTCGCTTGTATCAACGTTCAGCTTTCATCGGCATTTATTCCGCTTTTTCTAGTTTCATGAATCAATTATTTGATTACACTTTTTGAATAAAACATATTTTTACAATTTGATTTCAGATCGAATGATATTACTGTTATACAATTGCGAGTTATTCTTCTGATTGGATTCTTCGTTTTCTAATGCAACACTTAGTTGCTATCAGTTTCAACTTTTCAAGCTTGTCCTCACATGATATGACTCCTTTTGCATTTGCTGTGTTACTGTTGTGAGCCCGAGGGAAGGGGGGGGGGTGGGGAACTTCCTTATAAGAGGCTAAATGGGGATGTGCCGCTGGATGGGGTCCCTTTTTCACGACTGGGTTGACTATAATGGGGTCGCACATTTCCGGGTTTTTGGGATAAGACAGTTCTCCATATTTATGGTTAGCAAACGTACCAGAATTGTTTGTACTGCAGATGAAAAGTAAAGTGTTCTTCATTTAATCTAAAAAATGGGTCAATTCATTAAAATAGAAAGCGACTAAGTTGGGATCGCGAAAATTACACATTTACACAAGTACCGTACCCCCCCCTTGGGTTTTGAGCGGTTATTTTTATGTTTCACTCAATTTGGTGGCGTTTTCCACTTTTTAAATTTGATAAATTTCGTGACACAAGTCCTTTAGATATCACTTGAGTATCAGTACCTTCTTCTGGAGGAGGAAATACTTTCAACTGGATAATTGAAGACTCGGACTCGTCATTCTCGCAGAGCCACTGACATTTATACTTTCCCTCGTCTGCTTCAGTAACGTTAACAATTGTGAGAATGAAATCTTTTTTGCATTTGGTGTTGGTTGTCATCTCTTGTATATCATACTTTTCACCAGATTTTAATTCCGCTGGGCTGTTGTTAAAATACCACCGTAAAGAATTGTCCCAACAGTCGCTTGGCCTAACAAATGCTAAGCACTTTAAACTGACATTGAAGTAGGCTGTCACCGAAACCGTAAGAGAAGAAATCTGCGGAGCTTTAGGCCATAAACCTGTATTAGATGATAAGAAGATATGATGAGCAAATGTTATTTGAAAATGGTTACTATTTTTTTGTGCAACCGTAAGGGGTAACATTTTTATTCTTACCCTCCCCTCCTGAGTATTTGTGAGCTTTGGAGGTTTTACGTGTTGATTTTGTTTATCCCACTGGTTTCCTCCTTTGCGACTTGTCTCGTCACGCCGTCCATAAAGACGCTGTAACGATCGGTTGATCGGATGAACCCCATTTCTCTTACCTCCCACCAATATGGCCTGTGCTACTAAGGGTTGATTTCAATAGCTATTCGGGCTCTCGTTTTCTCTTTTTAACAATCACATAACACTTTACATTGGAATCTCGATATAACGAACAGCTGAACGAAGACCCAAAGGACTGGCAAAATATGCTCGCCATAAAGAGGTTTAAATTGTTATATCGAGGTTCCTTTTATTTATTGTACAGTTAAACCCCGTTCCAGTATGAAAATCCGCTCAATACAGACATCTCATTGCTACAGACGGTTTGCTTTGTCCCTGGGGAAAGAAAGCCCTTTCATTTTCTACCAGCTTAATAAGGCCACCCCGTGAATACAGACATTTTCTCAGTACGGCCCCTTCAGTGTCGGGATTTACGGGGTTTTACTGTATTATTTATGGGGCGGAGAGTATCGCTTATCATTAAAAATTGAATCATTGGATCATGCAATTCTAGAGCTCTGATTGGCTTAGCCATCATGGTATTTGAGCCTTTATACCATGCTCTTCAAATATGGTAACTGTACGCGTCTGTTTAAAATTAAAAACAAGATGAAAGTCGGTTGGTTTACAAATAAAGTCGGGAAGAATTCTCGATATTTTGTGGGCGTTTTAATAGAATCATTATTCCACTCGCGCTTGTTGTATATTAGATGATTATAGCCAACTCGGTGCTACGCGCCTCGTTTGCTATCTACTAATTCATATCTAACGCACACTTGTGGAATAAGTGGAATAATTGTGAATTATACCGAGGACTTCTTTATATAGAGGTTCTACTGCATTTCAGGTGAGAACACTCCCCTCTCATTAATGACTGTCCTGTGCTTGATTCCTCAGGCAACATCATATGTGGCCGGCCAGGTTGGGAGTTTTGTTGCTTCTCACCCTTATTCCGCCATTGCCATCAAAACAACACATCACTCTCACGTTAATCCCGCCCGCTGCGCAGGGTAAATTTGAGCCAGAACCACTATGTGGATGAGCTAGCGCCACTAAATCATTATTTATTTATTTATTTACTTATTTACTTATCCCTTGTGACCCGGGGGGTAAACAAATGAAAATTCCTGGCACGAAATTGTCAGTTATATTTTTTTAAATTCATTTAGGAATAAGTTAATCTGTTATTTGAAACATGAAACACCCAATATTTAATTCCGTCTAAATCAAGAGAGAATGAGCTGTCCCTCTTAGTCTAAATGGGATACTTTCCATTGCTTACAGGGGAAACATGGTATTATGTTTTTATGAACCTGCTTCAAAGGAGCTAGTTTTGCGCATCCGTGTGTAGTATTGAAAATAAGAAATTAAATGACTCACAGCGATAATTCAGGACAATATACCCTGACTTTTTACTCGACCAGCCTGTAATGTTGTTCATTCCAGTGCATTTATAAGTCCCTTCGTGTTTTTCTTGGATATTAGCATTACGGAGAAGGGAACTTAAGGTATCCTCTCCATCCAGCTGCTCTGAGATGTAAAACCCTTCAGATCCGTTGATGATTTGTTTGTTACTTGGATTGTACCAAACTACACGAGGACGAGGCCATCCCTTGAAGGTACACTTCAGTTCCATTTTTCTCGAGTCAGGATAGTAGTCAACGGGAGAACTTGTCTTACTTACTCTCTCAACTGAAACTGAGAAGGAATTCTTCGTCTTAATTTCAAAGTTCGTAAGTCATGCACCCAGTCTTTTTAAGCTAGGGAGCTTAAGTGACCAACTCGAAAGCCTAAGCTCCTTTGGCCACTGCGCACATTTCACCTTTGATCAGGATTTATGTAATTTGTTGGTTTTCTTTTTCCTGTTTTTGTAATATATTTGTGATTTTTATAGCAACCTCTTGAATTAGTGGAAAAAAATATCAAAATCTGAAATGTAAAAATCTGAAGCACCACGACGTCAACGTCAAAACACAATTAGTTTTAAGTAATGGTCCAGATAAGAAGGAAAGGACCAAAACGCAGTGAACACGTCGGAATGCAAAAAGGTGCTAACTTTTCTATTGTCTCTACTGAGGTTCTGATTGGTTTAAACATCAAATTTTACGAAATCTTCGCAAAGCAGCATGTATATTAATCTCTTTTTTTCTATCCAACTTCCTTATAACAAAATCTCGTCTAAGTCTAAGTAACACAGAAATCGTATGTGCGGATCATGTAAAATTGTGAACATTTCTTAGCCATTGTTTGCAACTCTTGTGATTGGTCGAAATGTTTTAACACAAAAATACACCCTCTAAAATTGGAGTTTAAATACATTTTCTTTCGTAAACAGCCTTTTTGTAGATTTATGCATTCTCTGCGTAAAAATGAAAACATTTCTATGTGAGGAAAGCGTATTGCGCCACAACAAAAGAAATTGCTTCCCTTCTTACCTGGACCATTACTTAACATGAAAAGAACAGTTGCTGCACGTGCGTCAAGCGTCTTAGTACATTTCTTTGACGTTGACTCCCCGGGGGGGCACTTGGATATTTTTTGGGTGGGTATGTGCCGCTCGGGACTCCAAATTGACACCCCGTTCTAAAAAAAATTTCCCCTAAAATTGATACCCCGTTTTAGAAATGGGCCAGTTTTTTATACCCCGTCCTAGGGTGCAACAAGAGTATAACAGTTGCTTGGTAACGCACTGAACCGTATTTTAAAAAGCAGTCTGTCCTTGAATAATTTCAAATGGCTACTTACAAATCTGGAGCTTTCATGTGTTACAAAAATATTATACCTCGTTCCAAACGAGGAGCTTCAAAATCTCCACCCCATTGGGCGGCACATACCCGTATACGTAATGTAAGGGAGTAACCCCCGGGCGTTGACTGCAAGACTATGAAGTAGCTTGAAGTGAAACCTCCTAATCAAGGAATACAACGTTTTATAGCGGAGCTCCCGCGCGCGCTTCGCGCGCGCGTAGCGGAGCACCATGGGTAAGAAAATTTGGTAAACTATCCATCTCAGAAAATTTGGTTATGACGTAGCGTACGTCCGTCCGTACGGACTTTCCGGGTAGTGGAAAGTAGTCCGCATGGACTCTTGGGGTAGGGGAAAGTAGAGATTTTTTGGCGGGAAATCGCATGGCGCAACGCGTTAACGTCGCGCAATTATATCGCGCAACTGGTTTTGAAAAAAAGAAAGCAAGTAGAAAGAGTCAGAGCGAGAAGAAGGAGAGAAAATTATAGTGAAAAACGCCGGCAAGCAGAACGAGACAGAGCTAGAATGAACAGACAAAGGCAACGCGAAAGAGAAATACAAAGGCAAAGAGAACGGCAGCAAAATAATGACATGATGACAGAAAGTGTTGTGTTAATGTCACTATGGCCCCGCGCTATTAACATTTTGATTTCAAACTGATCTCGGACTCGAAAATTCAGCCAGTAATTTAAAAATACAAGCAGGGAAGACAGAGGCTTTTCACTTTTCTCACCATAGTCACGCGTTGATCACGCTCTACGACCGTCCAATTTTTATGCTCTGATTGGTCAAAATTTGACAGGTGAGTTCATGCAGAAACTGATTTATACAGCACCTTCAACCTTGTTTACTTTCAGTTTGACAGCTGAAGCTGACAGAGTATTTTGTCAACTTGTAATGTTTTTACTGTCTTTTTCCACTGGATGCTTAAAATGAAATACAGCTGGTATCAACAGTCTTCTTTGATTCATGGCTGGTTTGTTTATTGAATTTTTGGTCGGGAAATGCGCCGGTTGCCAAAGTTGGAAATCCGATTTCGGATGCATCGCTTTCGTTTTTACCTTGCTGGATGCGGGTTGAAAAGTCCCTCAAGCGATTCTGGCCTTACTTTATAGCTTTCAAGAGCTGCATCTCGAATGGTAAGCCTAAGTAATTATTGTATACAGTGTATGTTTGTTTTTTTATATCTAATTTCATGAAGTCGAGCGCAGCTAATGAGGCTAATTTATGCACGTTTGTATAAAGACCTGAGACAATGATCTGATCTACTATATATAAGCTTACAGAACTTTAAAAAGCCTTTAGTCGATATTTTCTCTCCGCATATAGAACGAAAAAACGTTCCGAAGAGTATTTAGGTATAATTTTGGCTGTAGAAAGAAAGCTTTGAGCGATTTTCTTGCCTCGAGTTCATCTTTGAAAACAGTAAACACCAGGAAGCCGGCTAAAAGCTTTAAGGATTTTTAGAGACGCTTTAATACTTGTCTCCGTGAATGAAAATTGTTGACTCTGTAAATGTTTCACCGAATTACATTTCTTTTACTGATTGTTAGTAGTCTCGTACAATTTTAATCGCTTTGCCGTTTGTTTTCAGTCGTTCATAAACAACGCTTGCAGGAGTACTCAAAATGCTGCTCGTATCAAACGCTTTTTAAGATTACACATCGTTATAAAACCATTTGATAAAAAAAATAAACACAATAAATTCTTTATTATGTTGAAGCGCGTAACTCTTTTAATGTTCACTGAAAATTTGGCGCTTGTCAAAAGTGAGAACCGGCTGGCCGTATAGGTGATTTTGGAAATTTTTGGAACGGTTTTGCTAAAAGCCCACGCGTGCTTCGTACGGTTCTGAAGATTGAATGAGTGCAATTTGTCTTGAAAAATTGTGAAATACTGCATTTTGTGTGAGGTCTATATGATAAAAACAACGCCTCATATTACTGTTTCAGATGTGATGTATAAAAAGTATGAAATGTTGGTTTACACGCTCCCAGAGTTGTTGGCAAGATTTTGTTAAGTAAACTTGTCGAACGCAAAAAATTCGGTCTGATTTGTTTTCCAAAAATTCCTTTTCCAGGCCTAATCTACAGTGATCAAGAGCCATTATGGCTCTAAAGTGTGATCGAAGATAATTGCTATTTTTTGGGTGTATATATACGGCTATCAATTCGATGTAAGATTTTTTTTTCACTCTAAAATCACTTAGCCTTAGCTTTCCCTTAAAGTTAACTGATTTGTGGATTACAAGTTTATTGTTTGCTTTAAATTATAAATCTATTAATGGGAGCTTCGCTTTTAGCCCTGGCTAAATCTATATATTAGAGAAAGTGAACATACGACGACAAATTCTCCTTTTTCTTTCTGAACCTGGATAAAGTCCTTAAGAATTCACCTCCAAGAGAAATCGTCTACATTTGACAAATTCTACAAATTTAGCAGCTCCAAATAGACGCGATAACATTTGAAATGAGGCAAATTTAATTTTTTAGCGACATTTTCACTGCCGTCGTCGTCGTTGCTTAGCTCACGATTTTTAAGGTAACGACAGTCATCTCTCTTGAAGGTACACTTCAGTTCCATTTCTCTCGTGTCAGGATAGTAGTCAACGGGAGATCTTGGCCTATATATTCTCTGAACTGGAACTGAGAAGGAATTCTTCGCCTTAATTTCAAAGCTCGTAAGTCATGCACCCAGTCATTTAAACTAGGGAGCTTAATTAAGTGACAAGCTCGAAAGCCTAAGTTCCTTTGGCCACTGCGCACATTTCATCTTTGATCAGGATTTATTACGTAATTTGCTGGTTTTTTTTCTTCTTGTTTTGGTAATATATTTGTAATTTTTATAGCAACCTCTTGAATTAGTGCAAAAAAATATCAAAATCTGAAATGTGAAAATCTTAACCACCACGACGACAACGTCCAAAAGCAATTGCTGCACGTGCATCAATGACATATACAATAATAATAATAAGCTTCTTAGTACATTTCTTTGACGTTCACTGCACGACTATGAAGTGAAACCTCCTAACGCGACGTTATACAGAAAGTGAACATACGACAACGAATTCTCCTTTTCCTTTCTGAACCTGGATAAAGTCCTTAAGAATTCGCCCTCATTTGACAAATTAAGCAGCTCCAAATAGACGCGATAACATTTGAAATGAGGCAAATTTAATTTTTTAGCGACGATTTCACTGCCGTCGTCGTCGTCGTCGCTTAGCTAATGATTTTTAAGATACCTACAGTCAAACGTAACAGCCGTGTTTTACTCCACGCCTTGTTCATGTTGAATAGGCCCTTTGCAGAAAGTCATTTTTGTGGCACAAACTTTGCCATGCTGGAGAGCGAGGCCCTGCGCACTAAGTCAAGCCAAACAAAAAGCTAACATCATTTAAAATGATTCCTTTGTTTGTTAATGTCATGTCCCTTTGCTTTTCTTGCCCTCCAGCATGGAATGAGCAATTAGAGTTTCGCGGTGAGCCATGTTCAAGTGAGGTGATTCAGCTGGCTATAACTTCAACCGTTTTTACGCTCAATTCAACCGTAAAAATTGCCTCAGCTGAGCTTGAATCTGCCTAAACCTGTTACTTGGCCCTCATGGGATTCGTCACGGATTAAATCCATTTAAAAATAAGACAATAAAACTAATTCACTATAATACAAAAGAACATACTTACTGGCATATTTTATTGAAAAACATTCACGTGACAGATTTTTATCCTTTGAATTCTTTTGATGTAAGAATAGACCGTTATTGGCACTGAGGTTTCTTTCAAGGTCCTGCCAGGTCATGTCTTGTACTTTTCCCCCATTCTTAATCGAGCAGTTCAAAGTCACTTTAGAGTCTTTCGGCGCTACTGTACGGGTTTTTGTCTCCAAAGGAGGTTGACATGTCTGTGCACTTATTTCACAGTCTAGGGTCCCTGTGGGTGACACATCTATCGCATAAAAAAGGAAAGAATAAAAAGGGAAATTCTTTATTTCATCAAAAATTCGCAATTTCGGTTTCTGGGAAACTGCCCACCTACCCCTCCCCTAAGCCATCATTTTTCCCTAAGCGAGAATTAAGTGTTAATGTTAGCTTAGGGGAGGGGTAGGTGGGCAGTTTCCCAGAAACCTTAACTGATCTAAACATTCATTAACTAACACAAACCTCCACCAGAACTCTTAACAAACCTACTATCCCAGTGGAAGTCACTATCCCAGCCCATGTACGTTTTTTTGGCTGGTTATTGTTCTTTGGTAAAGTAATGGGCTTCTCAAAAGATAGCTTTGCAATGGCTGATTTGACACTAAGTCTTATCAGCAAATGATCGGAATAACTAATCCTACTGATGCTTGAAAATAACAATAATTATTATATTTAAAGTTAATATTTTAAATATTTAATTTAAAAAGGAAATATCAATAATTAAATTCAAGTGGCTTTTGCAATACTGTAATACTTTGTTATATAGTAATGAAAATAAAGGTTATTGGCGTTATTGATCGAAACTATTTTCGTCATGATTTCCTTAATTTCCGAGGCATCATACACTGATGTTGTTTTAGTCAAGGCAAGAATTCACGAAACAACAAGGAATTAGCTTCTGGGTTGAAAACAAAATTATTTCCGCGTATGAACGCCCCACGGAATAATCGTGAACCATCGCAGTCCTTTGATCGCCTATAATGTACATGTAGCCGAATTTTTGAAAACTTTCCTCAAAAAGGCCCAGAATATTCCCAGCGGTGAGAATTTTCATAGGAGACTTGCAGTCAGACCCTGAGCTAACTTCCTATGGGGTGTGAACAGGCCTCCATGTCTATTCTTAGGTGGAGCGTGTGATGCAAACTGAGTGCGGTAGCGATTTCTGTGTCGGAGTGAAGCTGCTCGGCGCCGATATTGAAAGTGGATTGTCACATTTTGGATGAATTATTGCCAGTCTTCGTCCCAGTGTGAACAGGCTTCACTGTAGAGCGGCACGTTTAATTTACAATTTACCTAAGGGATATGGATTCGGAGGACGTGCTCAGTTCAGGGGCCCACCTTTTCTTTTTATTATAAGTTAGATGTTATTTTACTTTTTTATAGGGCGCATAGCGAATCCTTACCTGATATAATGTATGAGAATATTGGCCAAAATCGAGATAGCACTTACTTCGTTCGAGAGCAGAACCGTCTTCTCGTACCAAGGTACGAGTCAAGATACATGGAAGATTCTCTCTCATTTAGAGGTGCTTTGTTATGGAACTTTGTTAACTACAATGACAAGGACGCATCTGCGACCCTGAATTTCAATCAGCTCAAGAAGCGTGTCAGCGCTGAAGATTATTTTATAGATTTCAAGTTTGAATGTACGTCTGCATCTGCTATAAGATGCAGACAACAGAATTTTATATATTACTTATCACTGTGTGCGTATAATATATATAATTTGTATATATGTTTTGATGTAGATTAGGTTAGTTTCATTCTTAAACACACGACCCCACAAGCTTTTATTAACAGGTGTTGGGAACGTAGCGAAAAAATAAGAGAACAGGCGAGGTGAATATTCAGAGTGAGGATTGGGATTTAGTGTACCAAACTCTTTCGGCCAACCGCTCCAGCACGATGTTCGATATGTCTGTGAGCGACTTGTTCCAGCTGCCATTTATACTATGCCGGATACTCCCTTTTTATACCTATCCGGTATAGTGACGACAGAACCCTGCCCTTTTTGCTCATTAACACAGTCTCCGTTGCAGTTTCCACCGAAATCATCAATGACTTCCTTGTTAACTGATGTTGAATGAGGTGGATATAGGCAGTAGATATTCTTTTGACTTGCTATACAAACTGTATTGTTTTTTTTTTTTGTCCTGATCATTTTTAACGAATTGCAGGTGAATTGAGCTTAACATGCAACGAGCAATGCCACGTTGAGGCTGTAAGATTACATGCGGAGTCCTAACCTCTAACCCTAACCCTAACCCCTAACCCTAACCCCAACACCCCCCCTGATGCTAATGCCGACCGCTTATTTAGACAACTTAATTGCACTCAGTGTCAAATACAAAAAGCCTTAATGGTGAACAAACATTTAAATTATCTTGTTCCAAGATATTTATCCTCTAAATTTGTTAAACGATATAAAACACACTTCTCCCTGAGGGACTCTGTTTTAACAATTAATTGTCCCGTTCCCGCGAACAACAGTATAGGTATGGGGAATCGCTCTGGCTTGGGACAAGCCCAAGCCAGACGAAGAGTCTGGAGGGGGCCTATAGTAGAGTACAAGTTGTGGGCCCAACGTGGTCCTTTATATTCATAATTTACATATCCTCAGGGCATTTTATTAATATATGAAAATGACTTTGTATAGCTTCAGTTATTGCTCTGAAACCGTACGAAAACGCTTGCTACACAGGCTATTCCATTATCCATGCTTCAGCTAGATAACTGGATTACTATAAGCGATTAAGAGGTATTCAAATTTCTGATTCGAGATGGAAGCTAAGGTGAATACAGCTGTTTAAAGAAAGGTTGTCGGAAAAAGTGCACGCGACAATCCCAAAAGGTATTGTGGGTGATTTCGAGTTCACTGTTTTTCAAAATAATTTAAAAGAATGGCACGAGAAGCCATGGATGTATGTTTACGAGTGCTAAAAGAAAGCAACAAAAGTAGATTCGACAGCTACAGTGTCAGGAAAAGTGCATTGATCATATCCCATATTACCTTTCGGGATTGTCGCGTGCACAGTTTTTCCGACAACCTTTCTCCAAATAGCTGTATCCAAAGGAGGCGTTTATTTCCTTATTGAAAGTTCGGTCTCAACGTTTCATTTTGAGAGATAACAAACCGTATCATAAAATAGCAAAAACGAGAGCATGGCTTGTCCACCATGTCGAAAGGAAAAACAAATGTGTGTGTTTGTACAAACTTACTGGCTCCGCTATCAATCATGCAGTTTTGCCATCACCGGGCCGCACCTCCCCACCCAAGGATATATCGAGTACCCCCCTTGGGGGGGGGGGGCAAATTCCACAAAATCCTTTTCTACTGTTTCTTTATCGTCATCTTATTTAAAAAGCTACTTGAGGTATATTCTTTCGCACTTTATCAAGACCTAGTTCATCTTCTTTTGACAGTATACTTTCAGCAAAGCAGTTCATCTTTTGTTTGGAAAGAGGAGGCTGTGGGCCGGGGGGTACTCCCATACATTAACTATACAGGTTTGTGCCGCTCAACGGGGTCGTGATTTTGAAGCTTCTTGTTTAGAACGGGGTATCCATTTCAGAGGCGTTTTCTAGAACGGGGTATAACATTTCGAACGCAAGAAAGCTCCAGTTTTGTAAGCAGCGATTTGAAATTATTCAAGGACAGATTGCTTTTAAGAATACGGTTCAATGCGTTAACAAGCAAACTGTTACACTCTTGTTGCACCCTAGAACGAAGTATAAAAAATTTGCCCATTTCTTGAAAGGGGTATCAGTGTTAGGGCGAATTCTAGAATGGGGTATAAAAAGTTGGCCCATTTCTAGAACTGGGTATCAATTTTAGGGGAAATTCTTTTTTAGAACGGGGTGCCAATTTGGAGTCCTGGGAGGCACATACCCACCCAAAAAATACCCAAGTGCCGCCCCCCGGGGGCTGGGGCAGTATTTTTAGGGGACATTTATTTGGAGCTACACGCAAAGTTCGGCTAGCACTCTTAATCCTGGTCTTGTAAAACATAGCCACCTGAATAATTTTTCTTACCCAAACACTGACCCGCATATAACACGATATAGTTCAGTTAGTGTTGCATTTCAAAGCTTATTGACCTCGTGCCTCAGGTAAATTGGCTAAACTGAGGAATTTAAAGCCATTCAAGGCCATTTATCTTATCAAATGAACAATGACATTTGCAAATGTAATTAAATATACAAAAGAAACAAGGGCCCGTTCACTCGGAATAAACTCCGGGAAGGGAACAAATGGATTTCAGAAATTGTAGCTTATTGAGGCAAAATAAATCGGTATAATAATGCTTTTACAGTTTTCAACGCCAGTCTCGTTTTTTGCAGGGATAATTGTTTAAATTTCATATGCTGTAAAATTTATGCATTCGACTTTTTTAGGATTTCTGTTGGCTGTAAAAAAATTCTAAATATAGCGTCACAAAAATAAAGTAAGCGAGTGATAAAAAAATCAAGTGGGGGAATGAAACACATGGTGATATATGTAATATATAGGTTCCTTTTTATCTTCGGTTTAAGTTTTTTTCCTTTGCTTGAGCGTATGGTTACGTATTTATGAATTTAAAACAAAGAAATTGTCTTTTAAGATAGAACTGAACCATAACATAATTTTACACATGAATTATATCTTATACTTATAAGTTCCAGAGTCCCTGTTCTGATTAATATAAGCACAACGCAGCTTAGCATGAATGTATCGTGTAATTAAACTAACTATAGTGCAAAATGGAGGTTGATTGACAAAAACGACACGGATATGTGGAACACAATCCCGCCTCATGCCTCAGGGTTTCAAAATTCCCGATGAAAGAAATTTGTAAGTGCCTTTTCATGCAGGAAGACATTCATAATCTGAAATCCTGCATTGCTGGCATCATTACTCACGTAGGTCCACAGACAGCTATTTGGAAGGTATACACATATTGGTTGCAAAATGGTACCTATTAAAAAGAGCTAAACTTGGTTTAACTCACTTGTACGTGTGACCTCGCCTAGCCAGTGAGTTCAGTCTGTTGTCGTAGTTGGGTTGATTCCCGTGGGTGGCGTGAAAGAAATTGCATACCCAATTCTCCGTTCAACACAATCTTTTATCTCCAAAATAGCCCCACTATTTCCCATATTTCAGATGGTGTAGATATTTAAGCCCCTAGTAACTCGAATTCTGGGAAATCCGAATTCTTTTGACAAGAGAACGGAAGCCATTCACTGAATTGCAAACAATGATGCATACTAACCTGCATGAAATGCAAGACGTAACATGGAAATAAAAACCAGGCAGCCAAAAGACCTGAAGGAGACAACGTTTCCGTGACTAAATGCTAACATTTTCCCTTGAAAATAGTAACTGTAAGGTGGAAGATACTATATGTGCGTGTACCACAACAAATTTAAATCAACGCCGCGAGCGCGGTGAGAACTTTTTATCTTTTGATTTGAAACCGCTAATAACTTACGAACAAGGCTTAGAGTGCATGCGCAGGAGACAGGAATTCTCCTACTCAGCTTTACTTGTTTTGAAGTCTGGAAAAATAGGTTCCCTTATTGTGGGGTACTTATTAGCAATTTAGGCTAATTTTTATGAAGGCGGAAAGAGTGTTGATTACCAAAAAAATAAATAATTTTTTTTATTTATTCACAATTTTATTATTATAACCCTGACAAAACTGATTACCGAATTTACTGATATACAGTTCAGTACCATTTACTATTATTCTTGTTATACTTAAATTTACAATTCAAAGTTGCACTCCTTGGTTAGATTGTTTATCCTAATAACCATCTATAATATAAGACTGTTTGATCTAGCTTGGCTAAACAGGTTGTTGTATTCTGGGGTATTAAAGCGTGAAATTTCAGCCACGAGGCTCTTTCCGCGCGTTCTTATTAGCGGATGTTTACTGTAATTACCAATTATTTAATCCAGGGGGTGTACTCCTAGGAATTCTTGATGGGGCGTGCCGCCTGGTTCCCAAAAATCCTAACCCCATTTCAGGCCAAAAAATGTTATTTTTTACCTCCGTTTTCAGACCTGGGCCCGGTTGCATAAAACCTACACTTAAGTGCCCACTTAAGTAGGTCACTTACGAATCCGTTCTGGGTACACTTACGGGTGTTACATGGAACGCACTTAGCACTCTCTTAAGTTCCTGTTTTACGTGGTAACTTACGGGCTCACTTAAGGGCACACGTAACTTTGTTATAGTACTTTTAATTATTAATTTGACTCACTCCATTTTTTTAAATTATGTTAACCATTGGTTAGTGTAAAGAAAGTGTCAAGTCGTTTTCAACACCTTTAAGCCTCTCATTCAGATAAAGTTTACATGGAATCGTTATTTTACTTCATTATCCACTGGAAATGATTTCCTCTTTTTTCTTAACGACGGCTTTAAATTGTACATCAGAGGTTAACAAAGCGTATTAGAAAGGAATTACGTAAAGAAAAAACAATCTTTAACTTTGGTAAAAACGGTAAGGTACGGGACCTACATAGGTCTCGTAAATTTACGTGCTATTTTTCCCGTAAAAAAAGTTTTATGCAACACCCGCCATTTCTGTTGCAGAAACGACGCTTAAGTGGGTACTTACGAAAATCGTAAGTGCAACCATTTAAGTGAAATCCCTAAGTGGACCACGTAAGTGATTTAATGTAACTCAGTAAAGTTACGAGTACACGTACGTATACGCGTAACTGTTACAAACCTGCACTTAAGTGCTCACTTAAGAAGGTCACTTCAGAATCCGTTATGGGTACACTTACGGGTGTTGCATGGAACACACTTAGCGCTCTCGTAAGTTTCTGTTTTACGTGGTAACTTACGGGCTCACTTAAGGGCACACTGAACCTTGATATAGCACTTTATTAATGATTCACTCTTTTTTTTTAAGCTAAAGTTAAAAGTCGTTTCAAACACTTTTAAGCCTCTCAAAAAATGAAATTTGCATGCAAACGTTAATTTTCTTCAATATCTACTGAAAATGATAGTTCTTCTTCTTTTTTCACAAAAGTGTACATCAGAGGTTAACAAAGCGCATTAGAACGAATTACGTGAAGAAAAATACTTTTTTTCACTTCTCAGTAAAAGATTTGGTTAAATTTAGTAAAAACAGTAACGATAGGGGACCTACATAGGTCCCGTAAATTTACGTGCTATTCTTCCCGTAAAAAAAGTTTTATGCAACACCCGCAATTTCCGTTGCATAAACGACATTTAAGTAAACACTTACGAAAATCGTAAGTGCAACCACGTAAGTGAATTCCCTAAGTGGACCACTTAAGTGATTTAATGCAACTGACTTAAGTTACGAGAGCACGTACGTGTACCCGTAGCTGTTACGGACGTCTTAAGCAACCGGGCCCTGGGCCCGGTTGAATAAAACCTGCACTTAAGTGCTCACTTAAGTAGGTCACTTACGAATCCGTTATGGCGGCACTTACGGGTGTTGCATGGAACGCACTTAGCACTCTCGTAAGTTTCTATTTTACGTGGTAACTTCCGGGCTCACTTAAGGGCACAGGTATCTTTGATATAGTACTTTTTTACTGACCCATGCAATCTATTTTTTTTAAGCTAACCATCGATGGGTATAAAGAAATTACCTGGTCGTTTCGAACACTCTTGAGCCTCTGTTAGATGATTAGGGAAATTCAGCCGGTTGAGATAACGTTTTATATAGACAGAAAAAAGTGTGTCATCATTTAACCAAACAGTTTCGACATGATAACTGAAATAGTTTATTAATGTAATATCTGCACAGGTTCTAAACTAGTTGTTAATGTTAAGATTTCGTCTAAACAACTGCAACTCAAGATCAAGCCGCTGTTCCTTCTTTTTCAGAATTCTCATTTCGACATCATGCTCTTCTTTTAAATGCTCTTCATATATCTTCTTAATGTTCCTTTCTCTATGTCCTTGTTCCCTAACAGAGTCGTAATCAGGTACAGTTTGGTTATTTTGTTTGTTCTTCCCTTACACGCCTTTTTTCTTACTCCTTCTCCGAAGTTCTCTAGCCACTTTCTCATTCAAGCACCCTATATCTGGGCCTACTGGAAGGTACGATGAAGTTGACGATAGGCTGTGTTTCTCAATGGCGCCACTTGAAGCATCAAGGGTGTGTTCTCTGGCTTGGATATTATCCCCAGAGTCTATTCCACCAACTATAGATACGTGGTAGGGATTTTCTTTTCCGAGTATCTCGGTGATTAGCTCGTCACCATCAGTCCACTCTATTGCACCTGCACCCCAGTCTTCTTTCGTTTGGCGTATTTGGCTTTAGTGGCTGACGACAAGTCCTCCCATTTCTTTTTAAGTTGTTCCTTGGTTCTTGGTGGGAACCCGGCCGCTATACTAACTGTGTGAACCTCCAAGCATGTTTGCATTTTCAATATAAATGTCAGTGTAGGAGATAAAGTACCGAATAGAGTCATCTTTCTCCTTTTTACCTCACGGAGAAAAAATCGTGATTTTATGCGTCTTAAAATTCGGCGCTCTTTTTCTGGGGTTAGAGCCTTGTTCATCTTCAGAATTCCGTTTCATTGACATCCTAGAAATGTAGAAATGTTTTTCTAAACGATGATGAAGAAGAAGCTACGGGCGACAGCAGCAATGCTGATGAAGGGTACCAAGACGACATTAATGAAACTGAAGAGGGTCGAAAAAAACGTTAGGAATTTGCTCGTTCGTTTTTGTTTTAGTTTTAGGTTTTTTTTTTCACAATCCTTATAATCTATTGAAGCTGATGACGGTTTTTAAATAATTTCAAATCATTCAGCAAATAAGATTGACATTTTAATATCCTATGAGTGCAACTCATCAAGTCCGTCGACTTTCCTTTAAATACGTTTGCATGCCATCGTTATTTTACAAGAATATTTACTGATAATGTTTATTGCATGTTCTACTTTTTTTCTGAAGGACGGCTTTAAATAAAGTGAACATCAGAGGTTGACAAAGCGCATTAGAACGGAATTACTTAAATAAAAAAACTTTTTTTTCACTTCTCAGTAAAAGATCTCGTTAACTTTAGTAGAAACAGTAAGGATAAGGGACCTACATAGGTCCCGTAAATTTACGTGCTATTTTTTGCGTAAAAAAAGTTTTATGCAACACCCGCAATTTCTGTTGCATAAATGACACTTAAGTGGGTACTTACGAAAATCGTAAGTGCAGTCACTTAAGTGAAATCCCTAAGTGGACCACGTAAGTAATTTAATGCAACTCACTTAACTTACGAGTACACGTACGTATACTCGTAACTGTTACGGGCGTTTTATGCAACCGGGCCCTGCGCCCGGTTGCATAAAACCTGCACTTAAGTGCTCACTTAAGTAGGTCACTTACGAATCCGTTATGGGTACACTTACGGGTGTTGCATGGAACACACGTAGCACTCTCGTAAGTTTCTGTTTTACGTGGTAACTTACGGGCTCACTTAAGGGGACACGTAACCTTGATATAATACTTTATTAATGATTCACTCTTTTTTTTTTAAACTAACCATCGGTGAGTGTAAAGAAAGTTAAAAGTCGTTTCGAACACTTTAAAGGCTCTCAAATAATGAAATTTGCATGCAAACGTTATTTTTCTTCAATATCTACTGAAAATGACAGTTCTTCTTCTTTTTTCACAAAAGTGTACATCAGAGGTTAGCAAAGCGCATTAGAACGAATTACGTGAAGAAAAATACTTTTTTTCACTTCTCAGTAAAAGATCTCGTTAAGTTTAGTAAAAACAGTAACGATACGGGACCTACATAGGTCCCGTAAATTTACGTGCTATTTTTCCCGTAAAAAACGTTTTATGCAACACCCGCAATTTCTATTGTATAAACGACACTTAAGTGAACACTTACGAAAATCGTAAGTGCAACCACGTAAGTGAATGCCCTAAGTGGACCACTTAAGTGATTTCATGCAACTGACTTAAGTTACGAGTGCACGTACGTGTACCCGTAGTTGTTACGGACGTTTTATGCAACCGGGCCCTGGCCTCTGAGAAATTATGCCATCATTACTTAGATTAGAACGCCTACGAAAAAGATTTCTTAAAATTCATTTCGAATTCGCATATTTTTCTTTCTGTCTTATCCATTTGGAATTGAAACGATAACTACATTCATACACTCCCGTAGTTCCCTCGAAAACCATACCCGATTGGGCAAGGCCTATACCAGTTTTCAGACGAAACCAGAGCAAAAACCATACCCTTTGGGACGGCACATACTAATATGGCTTATATAAGGGAGTACCCCTCTGGGTATTGAATGAGGCTAAATATGCGAAGAATTATGCAGATCGAGGAGAATGCCGAAGGCTGAGGTGGATAATAGCCTCCGAGATCGGCATAATCCTTCACAGCATACGAAAGCTGAATTCAATAATTGTTTTATTTCTCATCCAAAATATTTTTATTCCTAACAAGCATACCTCCTCGTGGACTTTCTTAATAATAATAATAATAATCATCTTTATTGAGGAAACTTTTTTCATAAAAGATATGGTTTTCAAAAAGGACCTCAAAACTAGATATATATTATAAAAACAAAAAAAAAGCTATAAAATTACAAAGTGATTAAAAAGATACAAAAAATGCATAAAAAAATTAAAAATAAGTATAAGTAAAAATTAAACGTAAGTAGCTATATCAAAAACTTAAAAACATTACGTTTAAAACTATTTACATTCCTTGAGTCTTTGATCGTCTGACTGAGGGAGTTGAAATCGGAAACGGCATGATATTGTGTTCTTTGCTTCCCCCAATTTCTTTTGACACGAGGTAATCTAAAATTGCCTTTGTTACGTGTATTATGCCTATCAAGTACGTCTTGTCTAATCAAGTCCATATCGTGATTAATTAGGCCATTGATGCATTTGTATACGTGTACACACCTTCTTTGAAATCGCCTTTTCTCTAGTGGCAGCCACTTGAGAACGGCTAATGCCTCAGTGGAGGATGAGTACAATGGTCTATTTAAAATAACTTTAGCGGCCTTATTTTGCAAAACTTGCAAACTAGACATAAGGGTAATATTATGTTTATCGCCCCATACTAGATCAGCATATTCAAAAAGGGGCATAACAAGACTTTTATAGAAAAGAAGACGAGCCCTGAAAGGCAATAAATGCTTTATACGCTTGAGAAGCCCAAGCCTCTGATTGATTTTCCCAGTTAGGTGTTCAACATGATCAGTCCATGTGAAATCCGAAGATATATGTATACTGAGGTATTTAAAGCTGCGAACATTACTTATACTATGATCTAAAATTGAAACAGTCAAATCTACTTTGCTTTCGCGTTTCCTATTACTACCGATGAGCATGCATTTAGTTTTGTCCAAATTTAAAGTCAGTTTGTGATCATGAAGCCATTTCGCCACACCCAGTAGATCGTTATTTAACTTATCACTCAACTCCTTTGAGGATGTACCATAGCAATAAATTACAGTGTCGTCTGCATAAAGTGACGCGTTGCAGGAGTTAAGCAAGTTATTTATGTAAATCACGAACAATAGTGTTACAATAGTTGTCGATTATTACATTAGTGGTTAGTGGGTCGGATACAGCATTAACTGACAATTACAACATCTCGGTTTTAACGTCAGTTTTATTGGAGAAGGCCCTCCTTCGACTTGGATTCAGATACAGATGAAATACATATCAATTGCCCTTTTGTGCCTTCAGCCATAGAGGTTTAAACTGTATTTGATACCCATTTTATCACCCACAGACTAAAGCCGAACACTTAGTTGGGAAATTTCACTCTTCGCTATTTCCCAAGACAATAAATTTTGCTGTAGGTATTCATAGTTTAGACACTCTGGTTGCCTATGGTTAACTCAATGGCAGTTGCCAAAATTAGCTCTCGTAACCTTAACCTTAGTTTCATGTTTCTTTTGTAAAATAAACTGAGCCATTTTTATGCAACTAGTGCTCGCCGTTTCTCAATGGCGATCAAAAACGATAGCTTAGCAAAAAACGTGGGAATGTGTTAGATTAAGAAACAGTCTCTCTACACGCCCGGAGCTCTGCCCAGTCTCTCACTCTCTTTTCACCCTCGACCAGGCTTTTTACTTAGGAGCAACACAAAATTACGGGCTGTTAAACATTTAGGCATGTGTTCTTTATTACGAACATATATGGGTAAAAGAATACTAAGTAGTTTCTTTTTTAATAACTTTGGTCATTCCAAATCAGCGAACCATTCGCGCTTTTGCGATAGTTTACCCAAAATTTTAATCATGAAGTTAATCCTTTTGTTTAAGTGTCGACGTAGTGGTTGGTTAAAAGAACTTAAAAACAAATGAAACGGTCCAGCTAGTGATTCACAAGAGTGGTCCGCTTACAGGAACTGTAGCTTAAGAGAGCTTTACATTACAGCGCTTTTAAAAGTCAGTTCAAACGGTGTTTCACTGAATGCCGCTTGTAATTAGAGGTGGTCGCTTATAAGAGTGTCGCAAGGAGAACTTCGGCTTTATTTTTAAGACGCTGAAAATAAGAGATAGCTAAATTATCGGAATAAATTAGCATACTTTTAATTTTTAAGTCATTTTTCAAGCCACCTTGCAATAACGCCAGTGTCGGTGGCAAAGTTCCTGAACTATTTATTCCGACAGTACTCTTGCAGCCGCCATCAGTATTCCCACCAAAATTAGCACTCGCTTGCTCCCAACTTAAAGAGGGGTAATGTTGAATAAGGGACGATCCTCACTAGCAGGGGCATAGCCAGGATTTTTTCGAAGGTACGCACAATTCTCCCAATTCTGCCCAATGTTCCCAAACGGTGAAATTACTGTAAGCCGAAGCGTTTTCACTGTATGAAATGACGTAACTATGTAAACTGAAAAAATCTTCATCGTCTTTTTGGACTCATGGACCATGTGGACTAAAGCACGTCAGTCGCTTTTCTTAACTTAAGGCCTAAAATATATCTGTGAATATAGGTCCACCAATAAATCACGTATCTCTTTTCTGGAAGCCGACATTTGGGAGTAAAACTAAAGATTTAATAGTCCGTTGTTATATGAATTGAGCCAAACTGTGAACGTAAAATAATTATATTATACCCATCTTATCCTTTTGCTCTTTTTTTCATTATTCGGCTTCGTTTCCTTTTTTTTTTTTTCACCCTCGACTTTTTCAGGTATGCCCGTGCGTATAGGTAACTACTCTCCTGACTAGTATTTTTTTTTTTTACTTGCTTCAGTAGTAAATTGTTTTTCGTGCAATTTCTGTTGTTTAACGGGTAAATTATTGCTAAGTTTACAACTTAACAGAAGGGCTCTTTGGATACTTTTCTTACATCGTTTTCACAAGCATATGATTTTATTTTCTCAGTGCTGATTTTCCAGTTCAAAGGCGTCTGGAACTGTCTATTCTTTAAAAGAGTTAGTTGTAACATTTCCCGGGGGGAGGAGGGGTCTCAACAAAGTTTTATACTGGAACACTCCGCTTTGAGGTCCAACCCCTTAACCTTTTATTTCCCTGTTATCCACGTCAGTGAAGACATAATTAAAATTTAGGCGATC